GTCTGCGGCGCGCCAGAGCGGCGCTGGAAGTGGAACAGGGTGCTTTGGACCTCGCTGGGTCAAGTGGCTTGTTTCGGCCGTCGCTGCGACGTCTGTTTGGACATCGTCGATGGGGCCAGGCCCGGCTGTCGCCCGAGGGTGCCGAGCCTGGTGGCACAACACTTTTAATATTGTGACAGGGCCTGCAACCAGCCGCTTGTCCAAGACTCCAAGCGGGAGACAGGATGAGACAGGCTGTCGCTGAGGCGCTGAATGGCTCCATGATTCCCGGCGCAGTTGTGTGGTGTCCAGTTTGTGGCACCCATCTACGCCTGCCATGAGGGAGGGCCTGGAAGGCTCTCACGAGGCCAATCCGAGGGTCCGAATGTTGAATGCATCGCACTCGAGGCGCAGTGGTCTGGTCCCGGCAGTCGAGGTGGTCGAAGAGATCAGAGCTATTGTCGTCTGATATGGGGCACTTCGTAGCGGACAGAGAGCTGGCTGAGAGCTGAGTCTGGCACAACCAGTGGACAGGGGAGTGTACCGAGTACTCGGCACATTGCCCACGAAGCAGAATTGGGCCCGGTTTTCGATTTCGAAGCTCGACGGAAGCATTGACACGATGGTCGAAGGCAGGGTGGAAAGGGCTGCCTGCCTAAGCAACCCAAGATTAGTTTGCCTGCCAAGAGCATGGCAGCAGAGAATAGAACATAATATGCGGCCTGTTTTCCTTTTTCCCGTTCATCGTGCCAGCTGCTTGCCTTTCCTTTTGGGGATGTCGAACTGCGGAGCCAGTCGTAAGCACGAATATCCTTGCTGACCGGCATTCCACCCACAATGCGGTACCAGTCAAGCGGTCGAGAGAATCGGCGATAAGATGGCTGACTGTCATGAATTATTTGATGCGTTGCCGCCAACCGAAAGAAGGCGGGATGCTCCGTACGGAAGGAGTAGTTCTTGTGTCTATCGAAGCGTCGAGACCGATGGGGAATGGCAGCTTTGTCGATATCCAGCCTTTCGAGGAGTGTCACAGCCCTTTCAACTTTCTCTGGCTGTTGGTTGGGAAAGTGCCGTCTCAGCCTTACCAGACGTCGCACCGTCCGCACTCCGCAAGCAAGACCAAGTTGCGGTCGATTGCGCCTTCCCTTAAGTTGTGTACGAGGCTGTCGCTGCAACATGTTGCAACCTATCACAGGACTCGACCTTGGCTGGCTCGGCGAACGACTTTTCGGACACATGGACCGCCCTGATGCAACACCACGACATTTCAATGCACCCTTCTTTTACAAACACGTCACGGCGATATGTTGTGTGGTACTCTTGAAGTTGACTGCGGCACGATTGGCTTTCTTGTGCTTCTCTGACAATAGCATGCGTCTGTCTGATCTTTGATCTCTGATTCCCAACCACTGACTATTTGATACAGGTCGGCCACATCATCCATATATATACTCCCGCGTTTCCATTTCCAAGCTGGTTACTGATGTGACAGGGTGGTTGGTCACTCAAAACCGACCTACATGTACTCCGTATGCATCGCTGCATGTCTCGTGGCCGACACCGAGCAACCCCAGCAAAGGCTACTCCATATTTCGGCCCCGTCACTGTTGACCCTTTTCGGTAAATTATTTGAGAAGCTGGCGGCGAAGCCAGAGTCAATCAAAGTGTGGACACCATGAGACACCATTACTATTGCCATCATGGATTCAGGGGGGGTAAAAGTGCGAGAGCGGAAGACACGCACAGCCATATGCTAAAAAATCAACAGACAGGGACCAGGCAAGTCGTTGCCAGAAGCGACGGCCGGCGAAGCTTCGGAAGGTTCCAGTGTTTTAGTACTGCCGCGTCTTGGCTACATTTGACAACCAGCCTCTTCAGCATCCGACACCCTTTCGGCCACGGCCACACTCTACTGGGAAACTCCGTTCCTCAATAACTACCAGTGATTTCTCGTTTTCTCTCTATGCCCATCATGGACGCGGGTTGTGCCACAAAACAGCTTTAGTACGAATTGTAATGACGGTGACAACAATAATGAGAGGCGTTGCCTCTACTTATCGGCATTGACTATTGCCGCTATTTACTCCATGTCAGCTTGCGGGTCGATTTTCAGCCGAGGCCCTCCAGCTTTCCTTGGATGAATTTGTGGCTCTCAAGTGAAATTGATATTTCAACCAAGACGAACAGCGGTTCGTTTGGTGGAGGCTCCAGGTCTGGGCACATGAGGCTACAGTGAGGGACGCAGCTGCAAAAATATGTTTTCCATCATGACATTCGTTTACTCTCACCGCAGCTTGTTCCACTACTCCTCCTCTTTGTCCCGCAAGAAGCCTACATGGGATTGTCGCTTGCCTTGCAGTAGCTCAGTATGATAAGCTACAGAGAGGACGATGCTGCCCAATGCAATTCGCCGGAGTACATCGTTCTGGAGAGGGCGCATTGTCGAAACGCCGTCTTCTAACAACAACTTGCAGCTTCGGCAGGCACTGGATCCCCCATCCTACTCATGAAGGCGTCGAGGTACAAAATGCTGACCAGAGAGAGGTCATGATTTGGTAAAGTTTGCCACAAGCTTTGCATAAGATCTCTTTCCGCCTTTGCTTTTCGCAGACTTCTCACAGGCAAGTGTCTCGTTTCTCCGTGCAATAAAACAATAGATTGTACATACATATGCACGAAGCAACCTTCGGCAATCGGGGGGACCAGGATAGCCCTGTCGTCAGCAGTCGGGGGTGGAGCCAATACAGGTAAATTCATCCTCGACGATTGTTGTACCGGAAGTCCAATTATGTGTCGACTTTCCGGTCTTGGCGAGAGCCAACGAGCTGCCGCCTCATCGATAATTTGTTCCCGCCGGCCTCCTCCCGGCGCTTGTCATGGCTTGGCTGGCACGACAGAGGAGGAGCAAAGCTGGCCAGCTGAGACGCTGTGGTTCTCGCTAGTAGGGGTCATTTTCTTCACCTTGAATATTGCGGCAGGCAGCGGGTTCCATGATAGAGGGACATGTGGCATAGACATGTTTGCATTCTGCATCTAGCGCTGACTTGAGAGCCATGAAGAACTTCATCATCGACCTGCCGTCTTGAACATGGGACAAACAGTTTGACCAAATCTTGTTGGTGAGTGGTGAGGCTCGGTAGCAAACAAACTTTCGGCTTCTGTTTGTACATAGGTACTTACTCCGTACAACCCTGCCCATATGATTGATCCCTGAATATTGATCTCTCAGATTACTAACCACTGCGAGGGCTAAGGATGGGTCTGTTCCGAGTCATTGCCTCTCCTCTTTGGGCGCGGTTCGATTCAAGGTGAGCTCTTCAACAGCCTCTAGCGGCTTAGCCGAATCATTCCAGATTTTTTGCCCGTTTATTCGGTGCCGAATGAAGTTGAGAATAGGTCCTTAAAGGACTCGGAGAAGCGTAAATCCTGATTGCTCTTCACTTGGAATTGCAGGCTGAATTCCCTCCTCATCTGTGATTTTCTCCTTTCCCACAGCCGCTTCCATGACAATTCGCGCGTCAATAACACCCCACTGGCAACCACTGCGACCGGGACCTCGGTCCGCAAGCAAAAACGATCCCTATATGCTTAAGTATATTTTTGTTCTAAGGGGGTGACTCGTGGACGGCAGGTTTTCCTTCATCTTTTCATCTTCAGCGAGATATAGCGCACTTGGCGATGCCTCACTGTTGACATTATTGGGGTTCTGGTTCTAGGCTCCGAAAATATAAAATATGCTCAATGCATCAATCAGCTCGTGGATGATGGAACCGCCGACGACCGTTGGACCCGACCTAGTCTCGCACATTCTGGTGACGACGAACGCTCTGTGGTTGCATCAACTTTGCCCGGCATGGAAGCAAATTATCCCAGATAAACAAGATCCTAGACGGCCGAACGTTGGCGGGATACCCCTTGGAGTCACAGCCGAGTCATCTGGTGGCGTGTGCCACTAATTCGTAAAGTCCAGACCGCTGGAAAAAGGCGAAAGCTAACTATTCCAGGCGGCCGGTGAAATTCGAATGCGTCATTTCGAAACGGGTAGTCATCTCCTGGCGCAAAGGCCTAATTTTGCACGAATCGGAATTAGTGAAATGCTGCGAATGGGCATGGATGGGCGAAAATCCTACGTGTGCTTCAGAAGACAAAGTCTTAACATTGCGCATCTACAATGCTTCTTGTGACCAAAATCATGGACGAGTTTCATCCTACTCGGTACGCAACGGCCCTGTGTGACTCTAAGCCGTAACAGGCAGGGCTACATATGTAAGTGAATTGCAGTGCCCGGGCCCCGGGGATGCTTCTTGTTTCTGCTGTCTCAGCTCTCGGCCCTCGGCCAGTCAGTAGTGCTTACATGACCACAAAAAAGCTACAAGAGTAGGCAGTCGCACAAAAGTCTGGGAACCTCAGTCTCCTCTTTGTAAGCGGTTTGAAGACTGGATTCAGAAATGTAATGGTAAATTATTTGACCTGAATGGTGCCGGCCCAGACGGGGAGAAGATCAATGACATGTTGACGTATCGTATATATCAAGACATGCTCAAGTCTTGTACATGGTGCGAACAAAAGATGATTCGTATAAATTATTTACGGCGGCACAGAACGTTATGAATAAGCGGCGAGGAGTTGGCCCTTGTTGCTTTTCTCCTGCACGAGGTGACATACCAGAAGCCACCATGCTCAACTTTATTTGGCATTGGCGTTGACGGTAGGCAAAGACATGTCATATCCAACCATGTTTTGTCCGACGATCAATCCCACGCTTCACCATTGCCTGGGCATCCGACATGTACTGAAAGATACATGTATAGCTATACCCAGGTTGTCGTTGTTGCAGCCTCGCCAGATTTATCTGGGATTCGAAATCAAAGGAACGCCTTCCATGCCGGGTATCACCCACCATGGCCAGATTATCAAATATAAACACGTTCAAGATGAACCTAGTAAGGCCAAAGACCTTCCTAGCAGGCAAACTCCGTCAATGCCATCACCACAAGTTCGTCCAAACATTTCTAAAGTCACTACTGCTTCTCCTCCTCCTCCTCTTCATCTCCCATCTCCTCCACTCCATCCATCCCCTCTTCCTCGGCGTCATCATGGCCACCCTCACCCTCACCAATACCATCATCAACCCTAACAAACTCCCACGTCGTCCCCCCCTTCTCTGTGGCCCTCAGCTCCCCGCCCTCCCCAGCAACAACGTGCAGCAGCTTCCCCAGGCTCGGCGCCAGCAACTCATATCCCCCATCAGGATGCCTCCTCGGCACAAAGTACCCGTACTCGCCGTGCTCCGTGCTCTCCGCCGTGAACTTCCACCAAAAGTCGTGGCCCAAGTACCTCTCCAGCTCCGTCTCGCGGAAGCCCATCCAGCCGTCCTTTTCAACAGACTGCCAGTAGCAATTCCCCGCGCGGCCAATGTCCCTTTCCAGCCGGATCTTGCCTTCGAAAATGGCGATGGCGGCGTCGGAGGACCGGTCGAGGATGACATAGGTCTGGTTGGGCCGGGGGACGGCGTCGCGGGTGGCGGACGGGCCGAGGATTTCAGACAGGTCGTCGTGCTCAGCCATTTCGTTTCCTTCCGCCGTCAACAGTGTAAGTGTTTTGATATAGGGGCCCGAGGTGCCAGGGGGGGGTTCGGCCTGAAAGCAAATCAAACTAGGGCGGGATTATTGCACAAGAAAGAAAAGAAAAAAAGAGGGAAAGAAACGTGTCGTCGAGTCGCGGAAACAAAATCGACCAAGACTGTACCAAGCTGTTCGGCACACCGGGCGGTGGTTAAACGTGGAGTGATGACATACATAGATTGTCGTCGATCCACGTCGAGTGACGTCAGTGACGCATCACACAACCCGGCCACGGGAGGATTTCTTGCAGGGTGCCAATGCGCAAAGAGGCTTGGGCGCACATACAAAAACCGGGAATGAATCCATCGCTGTGGTTGACCAGCGCGCGGGAGAGCCTCACGATGGCGTCGTACATGAGAAAGGGTGTTGGATCCCCCCGGTCCGGTACGACATTTCACTTCTCGTCGGTTTCGACGTTGCCACTGCTCGTCCCACCAACGCCATCTACGGAGTATACCTGCATCATCACTTCACTCATCTGCCTATCACCCCCGACCAATCGAGAAGCCGGCATTCAGACATGTAGCCACTGCAGGATCCCAAGACTCACTCAGACAAACATCACCAAAAGGACAGCGAGCAGCTCGCGAACAGGAACAGACGGGCACCAGACATCACATTCACGACCCCCGTCCCCCGTCAGAATCATAAATAAACAAATTGACTACTTTTGCCCTAAAACACAATAACGCACCCATTATTCTCGTCACGCCCGTTCCTGCTGTAACGAACACCCAGCCCACCATCCCAGTCTTAAACTCGCACAGCCGCGACTCTCTGACGCCATTCACAAACAATACACCGCACCGCACCCGTCGCCCGTCCTGCCAACGCCCTCACGCAACAGCAAAATCGTCGCACATGACCTCCAGACAGGCACACCCCTTGCCGAGCTGCACCATGGTGCAAACCGGCTCCGGCGCCCTTGGGACGCAGCAGCAGCACGGTGTGCCGACGAGCGGTGCGGCCCATGTCGCAACCGTGAGTGTTGCCAGTGCAATCACGTTGGCATATTTCATGTTGGTGGTGGTGGTTGTTGCTTGTAGCTTGGAACTGGTGTTTTTTCAACTTTGGTAAAGAAGTATATTAAGCGTGTTATTGTGCTCTTGTACCGGCAGCTCAGAGTTGAGAAGTCGACAATCAACGGCCCCCAAGGAGCAGAAAAGGGGCACCTTGATATATGACCACGCCGTGGGCAGTCCGAGGGCTGTCGTTGCGTGATATGGATCGATCATACGACGTACCAACCTTCAAGCTATGCACTGTTTAACCCACAGGTATGAATCAACATACGATACAGGAACTTTTGCATCTCTGCAAGTCGTTGGAACGGGATGTAGACTTGGGACGCGTTATGCCTCGATTTGGAACCATGTCACTGCGAGATGTACATGATAAAACGACGTAGAATTCAACTTGATTACGTACATTACAAAATTAATCTCAAAATAAAACCAGCCATGGATGCCGTCGTGTTTCATCTAAGAGAATGCTAGTGCTGTCGACCAGTTTCGCGTAACAAAATCGCAATCAATACTTTTCTCTATCTGCCATTCCAACTCACTAACAGTACTTTTTATTGCCTCAAGAGACCAACAAGTCATATTCAGCACCGGACTTAGATGTTGGTGCACACAGGAGGCTGGACATGGACTGTCTCGGCATCCATTGGGCACGCAACTGCAGCGCAGACGCAGTCCTGCTGCTCGCGAAGTTGGCAAACCACCTGGTTTTTGCCTGGATTGCAGCAACAGCAGTTAAACCGGCGGGCAGACGCAGATGACGGCGCAAGGCAGCCCAGGGGCATGGGCATGGGCTGAGCCGGCTTCGCGACAGTAACGAATCTCTTGGGACGGTCGTTCAAGCCAGGAGGCTTGCCCTTGGTAGACGGAATGGCGTGAGGAGCCTCGGTGGTAGCCACAGGAGTGGGCTGTTTGGCAACAGGACCATCCAGAGGAGGAGGGAGATTCTCAACAGGAAGAGACGGTGGAGGACGAACGGCATCCTCGTTGGAAACCGACTTGTCGTCGTCGGCCCAGACAACGGGGACTCCCTGAGGACACATGACGGCGGCGCAGAAGCACTCATCCTTGCCGATGGAACGAGAGCAGCTAATGACGCTCCTGCGAATATCACAGCAGCAGCACGCGTCTGCAGTGTCGGGCACGCCAGTCCTCTCCACGGAGGGAGCACGAGTCTGCTGGGCGGGACGAGTCTCTGGCTTCTTGACCGCAGCGGTAGGGGGAGCCTGGCTGTCTGTGTAGACGGTTGGAGCGTTTGCAGCGCACGCAACGGCAGCACAAACGCAGTCCTTCTTGAGAATAGATCGGTCGCAGCTGATGACGTTGCTGCTAATATCGCAGCAGCAGCACGCATCGGCCGGCGAGTCTCTGGGAGGCTGGGCAGCGACCGAGGAGAGGAAGCAGAAGACGCCGGTAGCAATCCAAGTAAAGCGCATGATGGGCAGATTTGGAATCGTCAACTGGTGGAAACTTTTGGTTTTGAACAAGTGTACGGAGTAGACGGATGGCTGATGATGTTCTTCTGGATAATGGGAAATCATGGGAAGAATCGAGGAGAACCACGCGCATTTTATGTTCATTCCAACTCGCTGCTTCCTTGTCTACACTCAAGGTTCGCGCCTTCCTCCTCATGTGGTTGGAAATCCAGAACTCATCCAATTGTTTGCTCATCAACTACACGGCCTTCCGCAACCACTCATCGCTGTCTCACCCACACACCACCATCCTCACACACGGCGTACAAGATTTTGCTTCTCGATCAAGCGTGAACCGATGATTCCCTTATGCAGCAACGGCTCGGCTTAATTAGCAAAAGTTCTTCGATTTTTGAAATTTTGCCTCCTGCGTCTCGCCACTGCGTGGTCGGGTTGCCATTCACCATCGTACCGTCACACCACGCTTACATCCGTCCTCGAGAGAAGAAGAGTTTTTTTTTTTTTTCGCGCTCTGCAGGATGCAGATCCAGTGCAGGTGTCATGGGTAAGGTAGTAGGGCTCTGCATGCACCGAACCGTTCCCGATTGTGCTGGCCGTGAGCTCCCTCTCGGACTCTCGGGTCGTATGTCTTGCATGCCCAGAAGGAAAGGACCAGGAACAAGTAGGACGATGGGTAGTTTGTTAAGCTTATTCATGGGCCGTCTCATGCTCAATGCCTTGTCGTAGGCTCCAATGCATTGCCGTTGCTGTCGACCTGCAGATGCCAACATGTGGCCGAGCCCCGTTCAGGATCACAGCCGTCGAAAGCCGTGCCGTGTCGATGACCATGAAAGCCAACAAAAAAATTTTATTTGATTTCAGACAGCCGTGTACTTTTGAAATGAGCCTTATGTGGTCCCTGTCTACTATGCATCGTTGTATCAATGCTTTTACGAGAGACTTGGGCCCGCGGCATGTTGCCAAAAGGGATTCTGACCTCTACCCTGCCGAACCAATCTGCTCTGACAGCTCAACACGAGGCATCTTCACTGGTTTCTGAGAGAGGAAAATCCCCTCAAACGTTGCATTGTTACTATTTTAAGCCGTCATTACAACCCTGTCCATTAGTCATCGTTCCTTTACATCTCGATCGTGTGTCCCTCTTGCTATGGTGGCGCCGAGCAATTACGATACACCGACGTCACATTATTCACATCCACACATGTACGTGTGTGCAGTACTCAACATGTTGATTATACACGAGTAAATTCAATTCGATTCTAACTAGCACGCCAAATTCCATCGAGTCCTCGCACGCCGTAAGAAAGCTTTCCCATTTCCCAAAACCATCAAGTCATAAAAATGACATCAACATATTGGCCTTCATGATGTACGCGGCCGTTTGCAATATCCGAGTAGATCGGTTAACATAAGAAATTCAAAATGCAAAGATGTGAAATGAGATCCTTGTCACATCAAGGAAGAAACTTGATGCATGATTCCTGTTTAGGAACCAGGAACCGGGAGGCGAGGATACAGCGATGAGCCGCCCTCACGAAGGCTAATAGGTTGTCTTGGTGGGCTTCTGACATCGACATCCATGGCGTCGCTATCCCTTCGGGAAGCTTCGGCCTCTTGCTCGTTGACGAAATCCTTGCGCTCAAGACGGCCTCGAACATACTCTCGCAGGGTCTCAATAACACGCATATCCTCCAACCACCGGTCATACTGCTCCTCGCGCTCTCTGGTGGTTTCACTAACGTCCGACTCAGAAGATGGAGAACCAACAGAGAGAGCAGAGTCGCCAGCCTTGGGCGTGGTTCGCCCACTGGTTTCATCGGCAGGGCGGATAGGAGGAATCGTTCGAGCTTTCTGAAGCATGCCACCTGAATATCGGCGACGCTCGCTGGTGTCGAAGCTGGGGCCAAGAGTGGCAGTGGTAGAACCGAAGCCTTGGCTAACAGCAGGGAGACTGGTGGGCAGACTGGGGTACATGACAGACGACGTCGTGGTGGTGCTGTGGCGAGACTGGGGGGAGAGTCCAGAGGAAGCGGAAGGGCTTGGTGAATGGCCCGAAGTGTATGACATGGAGCTTGATGGCGGCGTAACAGCAGGTGTACCGGTGGACGATATGGCGGTAAGAGGCGAGGCCATACTAGCAGCTGAGACGGGGTGATAACCCTCGGCAGCCACATGAAGACCAGTTGGAGATCCGCGCTGGAGGACGGTTGGAGACTGGCTGTGTCGGTATCCGCCAAAACCGCCCTCGCCACCACTGTGAATGTGAACGCCGGCTGTGGCATGGTTGGCATTCTCGTAGATGGTATCCTGCATCTGTCCAAGCAGGTTGTCAAGCTGGACAAGATCCTTCTGTGTTCGGGCATTGGGCATGGGCAAGTAGTATTGTTGAGCAAGCGGGTTTTGGGTCGGTGCTGGACCACCGTGAACCATGGCAGGTGCAGGCTGGGACATGTACTGCTCGGTGGCAGCCATGGGACCGTTGGGA